TGAACACAAACGCCCCAGCTCACTGTCATCTGAAGTTTCTCAACACATCCACATCGAATCACCGGGCCACACAGTCTCTCTGGACAAAGTTAGAATACTGGACACTGAACAGGACTACTTGCTAAGAGGCATTAAGGAGGCTATATATATCAGAGCACTTCAGCCTTCACTTAATAGAGATGGTGGACGATATAAACTCCCTGGCACTTTTGATCAATTGCTTACGTCACGTATCAGTAAAGTCTCGTGTGAGTGAAGTCACGTGTTTGTAAACCGTAACTCTCGCGAGATCACGTTGTGAAGTGATTGGTCATTAATTATCCTGATGAAGGCGACAGTAGTCGCTGAAAATTTGATCCCTGTAAATAGTGTGTTGGAATAAAGTTTAACGTTTTACTATGATTACTACCAACACAGATGAACTTTCATGATAAATTATGCATTTGCTTTGCAAATGTTACATTTCTAGTTTATATTCTAACAGATAATGGATGAAGTGAAGGCTGGGATCCAGTACGCGTTCCAGACGAGAAATGAGCTGACTCTGGCTGTGAGCGGGACGGGCCATGCCGCGATGGAGGCAGCGGTGGTGAACATGGTGGAGCCTGGAGACGTGGTGTTGGTAGCTGTACATGGGCTGTGGGGGGAGAGGTGTGCTGACATGTGCTCCAGGAACGGTGGGTATAAATACAGTACTCATAGGAAATTCAACTTTTAAGTGCTCATGACACCAAAAATGACCTTTGATTGTGATTGACATAACTAGTATTACCTGGCTAACAGACACATTGACTATAAATATGCACGGTTCTCCTGTTCACATTCGAAATTCTAATGCCCTACCTTGGAAAAGTCAGTCCTGGCAGGCGATTTTCATCTCTACATTTTATTTTTGCATGATGTCTGTATTTTTTCCTGAGCTGACGTCATCCAGTGATGTCAGCTCAGGAAAAAGCACAGAAATGCAAAAATAAAACTGTTACATAGAGATGCAAATTGAGATGCCTGAAGTGGGCATTTGGGAAGCTTGCTAGAGAGTCTCCAAAAAAACACTTTTAGAAGGCCGTACAAGCTCAGTTTCTTAGTCATCATGTTTGGAACAAAATTCAAGTGACTATATAATTTTTGTATGTACACTTCCGATATTTGTATGTATTTCACAGACTTTTGGTGTCATGAGCACTTTAACTAAGTAACTGGATAAATTACAAAGATAATTTCCGGCCTACTCTTTACCGTGTTAAAATGACCTGCACCAGACAAATTTGTGACATGGTGCTGGTAGCTCAGCTGTACACGGGCTGTGGGGGGAGAGGTGTGCTGACATGTGCTCCAGGAACGGTGGGTGGGTGCGGTTTCAGGACTTGAAATCCTTTTGATCTGCATACCTGCACTAAGGTTCAGGTAACAATGAAAATTACCTTAAGCAGACAAATTGGGACAGACAGAACAGAGCACATCTATTTGTCCTGGTAACGTTGTGCAGTCGCAAATATATAACCAGAATATCAAAGTTTGATATGAAACTTACGTACTTAATTATGAAAAAAAACTGTCATAAATCAAAGTAGCATATAACGCTCTATAGCTGAACTGCCTAACTTCCGCATTGTGTATAACAGGTGCTGAGGTCAGAACAATCACCAAGCCCATTGGTCAGAACTTCACACTGGAAGACATCCAAAAGGTAAATAGATCATTGTCAATATTGCTGTGACAGTCTTATTGCTTATACACTTCACTTCTAATTAGTTAACATGCCTTAAATGTAACCGTGTTAATGCTATTGCAGTGTACACATATACAAAACTTAAGTATACAATATAAAACCCTGGTAACATTACATGCACAATCATATGATATGATAATATTTGGACAACTTTTAGACAGAATAATTATTGTTGGATACTTTTTTAGTATGGCATCAAATTCAGTCTGTGATATTTAATTTTGCTCTTGACATGGGAAACAATTCTGCATTAACTTCAGAAGTAACTTGCACTATCTTGGTGCAGTCCAGTTCTATGGCCACCATTTTTATAGTACATAAATTGTATTTCCCACTCCCAGGGTATTGAGTACCATAAACCGTGCATGTTCTTTATCTGTCATGGTGAATCTTCTGCTGGTGTTCTACAACCACTGGACGGGATTGGGGACATCTGCCACGGGTCAGTTTTATTATATACTTGTATATATACAATATACAATATACTACTTATTACTAGTATATGCACATATATAACTAAGTGTGAACTTTTGCCTATTTTCACAATAATTGTGGTGTTAAATTTCACAGGCATGGTGTTAACTTGCAATCAATTATGTTGTGGATATTGGCAAGACTAGATTTAGTTTGATTTTAAAATGTTAGTAAATTTTCAGGCTTTAATCTAATTGAATTTTGAAGCACATTTGATGATGATGATGATGTTGAAAGAAAACAGTTGCTCATTTTACAGATTTTTTTTTCACACCAGATTAACAAATTTCTTAAAATAAAACATGTTATGACTAAATGACTGCTCATTGAGGTCCAAATTGTGTATCCAATTTTTGCAATTTGCCCATTGAACTCCTTTAATTAAGCACTGTATGGGTTTTGATTTTATTTTGGACATTGTTGTCATGTTGTCTGTTTTAGAAATGACTGTCTGTTGCTGGTGGATTCAGTAGCATCTCTTGGAGGGACTCCTTTGTACATGGATCAACAAGGTACAAACATGTTTTAGAACTACTGATTGGACAATCTGTTGTCAAGGGAAGGTTTCCCTGTCCTTGGTGCTGATTGGACAATCTGTCCTTAGTGCTGATTGGACAATCTGACTTTGGTGCTGATTGGACCATCTTTGATTGGGCAATATGTCCTTATTGCTGATTGGACAATCTGTCTTTGAGAAAATGTTTCCTTGTCCTTGGTGCTGATTGGACAATCTTTTTGGAAAGGGTTTCCCTGTCCTTGGTGCTGATTGGACAATCTGTTCTTAAAGAAAGGGTTTCCCTGTCCTTGGTGCTGATTGGACAATCTGATGTTGCATTGAATTAATACTGTTAGAAATGTATAATAAGAAAACATCCTATTGCATAGCATTTTTACATGTTCCTTGACAATGTGTCTATAGTTTATTATAGTTCCTAGACAATATGTTTAGTTTTTTATGGTAATAAGAAAATGCTTGATATTTTTTAAGGTTTACAAAAGTGTATTATATCCCTGTACCTAGGAATCGACATCCTGTACAGTGGAGCACAGAAGGTGCTAGGTGCCCCGCCCGGAGCCTCACCTATCTCATTCAGTCCCAGGGCAAGGTATGTGTGTAAGATCCATAACCGTGAATGGTCGTAGGGGCATCATGGCAGCCAGCAGCATGTCTGGACTTGCCACGATGTTTCAGTAGGTGTAAATAAACTTACTGAAAGAAACTTTTTGAATGAGAGAAGACTTATTCAATTCCCTTGAGTAAAGAAGACTAAGTCTTATGAAGGATCATTAGATTATCAAGAGCCCATAGATACTAATATTTTATTGAAAATAGACATTAATCTTTCTACAAGTGTGGTAACACTGTCTATTGTTATTATGTTTTAGGAAGACATTTGTTGTATATAAGCTGTCAGTTACTGTTTTGACTTTGTCTTTTTTTGTGTGTCATTTCAGGGGCAAGCTGGCTCGCCGCAAGCAAAAAGTTCCCTCCTTCTATTTTGACATGAACCTGTTGTCTGACTACTGGGGGGTCGGCCTGCAAAAGGGACAGCCCAGGAAGTATGTAGTTTCTCCGGATCCTGTTTTGACTTTGAGTTCGTGTAATTTTGACTTTGTAAAATTATACAATGTAAACATGCATTTCTCTGGCTTAGTTGCACATTTAGCAAAACCCATTGCTCGCTTTTGTCTGAAATTTGATGTTTGTTTATAAGTTATATAATTATATCTTTCATAATTATAGGTACCACCACACTGGCCCCATCAGTAGTGTCTATGCATTGAGGGAGGGTCTGGCAAAACTTGCAGAAGAAGTAAGTATGTTCAAAAGTCAAAATCATTCAGAGGTTGATAAAGGTACAGAATACTAATAACCATTTGGTAGTCAAAACTACCCATTTCAAGAAGACCACTCAGATACTTGGAAAATCTTTAAGCTTTGTTTAAAGCTGTTTATTGACGATGCCCGAACAACAAGAATGTGTACAGTGTATTCAGGCTGGCTAGAACACTGGTGTGAAGGTAAATAATTATTGACAGATTTGTGTACTATGATACAGTATGATTGGTATAATGATATGGTATAATTGACATATTTGTGTACTATAGGGTCTGGAAAACTGTATCAGTCGTCACCAGCAGAACGCCCTCCTCCTGCATCAGGGTCTACAGGACATGGGACTGGAACTCTGGGTGAAGGACAAGGTTAGTACAGACACCTAACTAGGAGTCACTGCAAAATTTCTTTAGTGTACATGTATGTGATTAGAAATATGTAAAAACACAGTTTGTAACTTAGGTGGTCTCTGAAACGTCTTTAATAATATCTGTTATCGTTCAAATTGTAGTTTTTCTTTGAATTAAGCCCTGGCTGTCAGGCATTATTTTGAAGACATTGGTTTGTAGCATGGAAAAGCATTATAAAGTTTTACATTTTTACTGAAGTTTACATACAGAGACTCTACCTTTTTTGATTCTACCTTTTTCAACCCTTTGAAAGTTATAACTGTTTTTATTGTTTTGCATTAATTTTTCTCTTTGGTTGTCCATCATTTCCGATGATGACTTACACTTAGTAATACTTGTTTTGCATTTAGGCCATTGGTAATGGCTATTAATAGTTACTATTTGTTAACAAGAAACATGTGTTAGATGATTCTTTATTCTCTCGTGAGTTTTTAAACCTTTTCATCCACCCCTATTCTAGTCTGCCAGACTGCCCACAGTAACAGTGGTGAGGGTACCAGAAGGGGTGAACTGGAAAGATGTGGCTTCCTACATCATGAACAAGTCAGTACTCCTCAAACAAACCTTACACAAGTCACAGGCTCAGCATTTGTTAGCAAATTTAATTTAGTGATTCGTCACCTCAATAAACACAAGGCTATTCTTTTTTGTTACACATAATTTAAAAACAAGTTTCCATCATGATACCTTTAAAAAAATTTGTAGGAAATGGTATTTCATATTGCATTCAGTCACAAGTATGGATTTGCTTTCCCCCAAATTAAAATGCAAGCTTTCATTGAATTCCATGGTGTACTCATATATAGTACATGTAATCTTTTGCATTTGGTTTAAAATCATGACTTAAAGTTTATGAAATATATTATGCTTATTTGAACCATTAAAACCTGTATGTCTTCATAGTTACATGTTACTTGCAAGCCAGTTTGCAAGAAATGTTCATTGTAGGAAATAAGCTGTTTTATTGATGTTTTTAAAAGCAAAAGGTTTTAGACATTGTTTGTTTTGGTTGTAGGTACTCCATTGAAATCTCGGGAGGGCTTGGAGCTTCAGCTGGGAAGGTGAGTTACTGGACATGTGTCAAACTCATGGTCATGAAAAGCCATAAAAAAGGAAGTCATTTTGCTATGCATATATTTTGTCAAAACTTAATGGAAGCTGTTTGGCATCAAGTTTAGATTACAGGGCCTGGCTTAGTCAGCAGGGAGAAGGTACTGTACATATGAAAAAAGGTGGAGTAACCATTTAGCATTTTGAAGAACAGGCAAGTACATTATATTCAGTCAAAACTACCCATTGCAAGAAGACCACTGATACTGAGAAACTGAGAAAATCTGGTCAATGTGGACATTTGATCACCATAGAGTAGATTCTTAATTCTTGTGTCAATCCATTGGGAAACATTATTACCAAAAAGTGGTCACAACGGCCAGATGGTTGTTATATAGAGGTGGTCACTTGTACAGGACTATGCAGTTAACACATTTTTTAGCTGTGCAGCCAAAGCTTTAGAAAATCTGGACTGACAATGACATGCATTGTATTATCTATTAAGTGGAAACTCAACAGCATTGAGCACTAGTAACTGTTTTTTGGCATATCAACAACATTAAATCTGTTTCAGGCGTGGCGTATCGGCCTGATGGGACACAACTGTACCAGAGATAACGTGGAGTTGGTCCTGCGCGCCCTGAAGGACGCCCTGCAACACTTCGGGGTGAGAGTCCAGGCCAGGCTCTGAGCACAGCTAACACAGGGGACAGGGTGGACTCACCGGTGCCAGTTTTTCCATCAATAACATTATGGAACTTTGTGGGATGGCAATTTTTTAAAACCTGGTTCAAGGTTCACTGGGTCAAGGGTCCCTCAGTTCCAATGACTGCTCTCCATCTCTTCCTATCCTCCATAGACCTTGACAGACAAAAGTAAAAAATCTGGGGTAAAAATATGAAATTTTTTAAACATCCAAAGGACCATTGACAACCACTCTCAACACCATGATTTGCCTCTCAAATTGCAGTTTTTGAAGGCCTGAAAATGCTGAATTTCCCGGGGGAGCATGCCTCCCCAAATCCAATGATGAACCTGGGCTGATGGAAACAAGTGCTTCTGCAAAAGCTGACCATTTTCGCCGCTTACAGGCTTACAGTTTTTACGAACATTTTCCCCATCCTATCATTTCAATTTACCTAAGTTATATAAATGGTTCTAGTTCTCATCAACATTGTATATAATGAGAGAACATGCACTTCTATATTTCAACTCTTTAAGTTTAAAACATTACAAAAATCAAGTATATAACAGTTTATAACCTGTTTTCTCTCTTTTAAGAGTCTTTTTAACAGAATAAAAAAATGAGACACAAAAGTACATTTTAACTTAAATTATAAGTAACGTTAATATATATATATATAATTTTATTCAAAATCTCTTCTATGGCTTTGTCCCCAACATCTAAGTTTACAAACCTCGTGACATTCAACCAGGGCTTTAGCCAGCGCCCGTTTTACCGTCAATTGACGGTATTTTTTCCCGTCGGACGGTAAAAATTTAAGTCCTTACCGTCAACATTGACGGTCAAAAATCGTGGGTGAAGACATTAAACTTAGCAAAAAATGTAGCGAATTTGAATGAGCCACGGCGCGGGGTCTTTCCAAAGCGCGTCGCGTCTTTTCAAAACGCCGCGGGCCCACACATTTCTTATTTAAATACGGCGGGAAACCTGACTTCAAGGAACGTGCCGATGTCTGTTAACTCGGTTCTTTTCTTCAATGTTGCTGTCTGTTTAAACAACATGTGCTAACGGCCACATAAGAACAATGGCTCGACTCAGACTCACGCTGGGAACTGTACATGACAATAAGATAAATAAACAACATGTGGCAACGAACAAAGAAATATCAAACGTTTTGAAAATATACTGTACTTGAATTTTCATACCATCGCAAGAAAACGGAGATCGATCTACGCAAAGTGGCTTTATCATTTATATAAACTTCGTTAAACCACCTTCGAAGACTTGAGCGGCAGCATAAAGATAAATTTTCTGGAGCAGATCGCTGAAGCAAGTTTTTGCCGGCGTACGTAACTCCCTCCGCGGCAAAATCCCATATGCCGTAGCGAAATCGCGTCTCAGCACTTCCCCAAATCAACTCCATGGCCGCTAAAGTCTGCAAATGAGGTTAAACTTCCTCATTTCGGTTGAGAAGCGAAGCTACTAGTATAAAATCATGTGCATGGCGGCCATTTTGTTTGCTACCCGAAGTCTTCCGAATGATCTAAATAAGGAAATCGTCGGAAATCTGAGCCACATCCCTCGCTGTCGGCATGCGCTCGGGGCTGGCTCGGTGGAAATCGGAGGCTGTGGCGTCAGGACTAGGTTTATTTGCATGGCTCGGGAAGCCGCCGCGGCTTGAATCGCAGCGGGATTTGGGCGCCGGGCGGGTCAAACAAAGGGAATATGAAGTTGTGAGGACCATTTAGATAGTTTTTTTTTTCTATTCTTCAAATTGCAGATTGTGTAATTTTAATCCTGAAATCTTGAAAATCTATCTGCAAATTGCAGACTGAAGACGGGTATTTAGAACACTGAATACATGAAGTGTGCGGGGGGGCATGATGTCGATCACCGGATCATGATTTTTTTTCGCGTTGACCCTGATTCAACCCTAAAATAATACTCGAAGAGAACTTCAAAAGTCATCTTTTACTAATCATATATAATTGTTTACATTATATCATTTGATCAACCTGATCTATTAAAAATTGTCAATGGAAAATACCTTGCCAAACAATGCAATACCTATTTAAGTTAATTAAACACTCACTCATTAATTAATTAATTTCCTAAAATACAAAAGACATGTTGGTGAAAGTTAGGCACCCAGGTAATATCAATAGTTCCACGGACAGCTATGTAGGCCGGAGCTTCTATTGCGTGCGATCTACGTTTGGTCAGAAAATACACCCCCCCCCCAACACACACACACACAAAAACACCGATCCGGGAACGCCTGAAAAGGAGGCTTTTAATAAGCTTTGCCTGCAGCGCCTTGATTGGTCGGACGTGTGACCCTCTGGACTGCCGGCTAATGGAAATCTGAACATCTAGACTAATCCACACTGCTAATGCTCATTGACATAATTTATGCAGTTTATTAAAATCCTTGATTACTGTGAATCCTTGATTATAGACATGTCTTTATCAACATTTTTGGCAAATAATAAAAAGTTATTGTTCAAGACAAATTAAGTTTGTTTTGTCAGCAGCTTTGTTATGCAACATTAATAGAACTATGATTTTGAAATTAGCAACCATAATGGAAAGTATACAAACGTCCAAGGCATAAATGGTAAAAAGTGCACTCGCAACAACGACATCTAGCGACATGCGGCAACTCAGCATGTCTGCATGGCCGTCGCAACAACGACATCTAGCGACATGCGGTGACTTAGCATGTCTGCATGGCCGTTGAAGGGTGGAACCGTTGATCCATCCATCCGTTGATCCAATCTCAATCTCGTCTGAGTTACCATTTTCGCGCATGCGAAAATGGTAAAAAAATTTGAAGCTGGCTAGAGCCCTGGTACAGGCTGGATTCACCGGCACACTCACACAGCACAGCAAAGCCTGCTGGGTCTCATGCCTGAGTTTTCCTCACAGACATGGTCTCATAACAGAGTTTCGTTGACCTATCCAGTAGATATGTGGTCTTTTAAAAAAACTCCAATTTTTAGGACAACATTCCTTGTTTTTCCCTTACAACATTTTCAGTATCAAAAAGTTTGATTCTTGATTTTGTTATTTGAAGACCATGGTCTCCTTTTTTATTTTAATGCAATAGCTGGGAGCTACATGATTGTATATCTGATGACCAGGCTATAGCAGTGCAAGTGGACCTTTTTAGTGCGGACACAGCCTTAGAAAGGAACAATTATGGAAAATAAGCTTTCAGATCCTCAGCATTGCTTATCTTCTACACAACAAATCAAGAAGGCAATTGACTAAAGTCAGTTAGACATTCCAGTGCATAATGTTACAGTATCAAATCAATTGAAAACTTCTAGAATGATTCTAGGAGTATATTCTAGGTTGAATACTCTCTGACGACAAATGTGTATTGATCATTGATTTCTGGTGATATTTGTATGGGTAAGAGGATGATGATGATGAAGAGGATGGTCTCGAATTATCATTTTAGGTGTTGTATAGAGATAAGATGTACATGTACTTTAATCATGTATCATATAATTTATTAAATGATATTAGCTTTCAATGTATCTTCCTCATTATTTACATGTATTCAATTCCCTCAAATCATACGTGCCTCATCAGCGAATATTAGAAAATGGTATCAATGACTTTCTACATAGTTTCATCATACAATGTTTTGTGTAGTATATTTAGTACTTATTTTAGATGCACTTTTTGACATGCATTAAAAGCTTTGTAATGCTTCAGTTGCAATGTTGATTGGTGATTGCTGTTTGCAAAATTTATACTGATTCAGAACCAAAAGAATCAAACTGCTGAAAACAAGCAAATATCAGTTGTTGAAAAAGCCTAAGCTGCTTTGTGTACAATGTAGCATTTGACCAGTAGGCTGTAGTCTCCACCATATTTCTTTTGCGGGCCGAATAAATCGTAGAAATCGGCCTAAAAAGGGTATTAATTGGCAAGAGAAGGAAGCCGGCCAGAGAAGCTCC